CTAACCCAAGCCAATCCATCCCACAGCTCTATGATCTTTAAGGACCCCTCCAACCCTACCCAACCCAACTCAACCCATGGTTCTATCATCTTTAAGGACACTTCCAACCCTACCCAACCCACAGTTCTGTGATCCCTAAGGACTCTTCCAACCCAAGCATGCTGTGCATCTACAGTAAGTGCATCACGTGCTGAGCTGCAGAGGCAAATGCACAGACGGAAGGGGAATCAGTACTATGGTTATACCTCAGCACCACTGGAAAAAGGAAACACCCTGAGGAACCACTGTCCCAGATCTCTTCCAGTCTGCAGCCAGACAAATCGGTGCCACCAAAGCTGCCGCCCCTCCCTGTACACGTCCACAAAGAGAAACCCTGCTCAGCGCTTCGCAGCTCCAGCACCGCCCCAAACGCTGCATTTCCACTTCAGCAAAACACATTTTTGGCCCAGCCAGGGAGCCTCTGTTCTCCCCAAATCAAAGGTCACTGAAAGGCAGACCGATACACAACAGGACAAGGGGAATGGTTTTAAACTGAGACAACCTAAACTGAGGTTTAGGTTGGATATGAGGAGGAAGTTTTTCAGCCAGAGGGTGGTGAGGGACTGGAACGGGTTGCCCAAGGAGGCTGTGGATGCCCCATCCCTGCAGGCAATGGAGGCCAGGCTGGATGTGGCTCTGGGCAGCCTGGGCTGCTGGTTGGCGACCTGCACACAGCAGGGGGTTGGAACCAGATGAGCACTGAGCTCCTGTGCAACCCAGGCCATTCTAGGGCTCTGTGAGAGGCACAACCTGCCGCCTCCTTGCAGCTCTACAGAACACATCAGAGCTCCTCGCCTGTGGTCTCCCAGTAGGAAGGGAAAGATCCCACTGTCCCCAGCACTGTGGGGATGGGGATGTGCAGACCAGGGCTGCCACAGCAAGGATGGAGGTGAGAGGGATGGGGAGCAGAGCCCAGCACGGAACTGCCCCAAGCAAAAGGGTTTGTGAGCTGTAGGGAGGTGATAAATGCTCAGCTTGGCACAGTCAGATACAGAGACGTGGGGCTCACTGCAAAGGGATGCATTAAGGAAGGTGGGAGGCCAGAAATCCATGCCTGGATTTAAAGCAGAGAGGGTAACGAGGCCAGCATCGATCAGGAGAGCTGCGGAGCTGCCCCAGCTCCTGCAGGACCCCACAGGGACAGCCCAATATTGGTTTGCCACTATTGAGTGCCACTCAGCCCCACGTTCCCTGCCTCCCTCACTCTCAGGACTGTATGGATATTGGGCTGTCCCTGTGGGATTCCATTTCCTCCTGATGAGTCCCAATGTTGTGACAAATGGTGCCTTCCTCTTCAGCAGCCCTGAGGCTGCCTGGCTCCAATCCCTGTGCCCTGGGGTGAACCCCGGCAGCTGAAAGCAGGCTGAAGAGTTCATTTGCTGAAGGATTCCTCCCTTTGCAGAGCTGCAGTTGGAGCAAGAAAACCTTAAAGCCAGAGCCCTGTAGAGCATCAGCTCACAGAGTCACAGAATCACCCGGGTTGGAAGGGACCTCAAGGATCATGGAGTTCCAACCCCCCTGCCCAGCAGGGCCACCAAACACACACATTCAGATCAGGTTGCCCAGGACCCCGTCCAACCTGGCCTTAAACACGTCCAAGGACGGGGCATCCACAACCTCCCTGGGCAGCCCGTTCCAGGGCCCAACCACTCTCCTTGTATAGAACTTCCCCCTAACATCCAACCTCAATCTTCCCTCCCTCAACTTGGACTCCATAGGACACCCATAGAGCACCCCCTGACCCCATAGAGCACCCAGTGACATCAACTTCCCCCTAACATCCAACCTCAATCTTCCCTCCCTCAACTTGGATCCATTTCCCCTAGTCCTGCTCTTGTCAGCCCTTTGGAAAAGTTGACTCCCCTCCTGGCTGTAGGTTCCCTTCAGGTATTGATAGGCTCAGTGCCGGCCCCATGACACTCCCCAGACCTCAGCTTCCACGCAGGGCACACAGCAGCTCAGCAGCTGCAATGCTGGGGCTGGAGCCCTGGTGCAGAGCGGTGCTGCAGCCACAGCCCCCAGAGTTCCACCAGGAACTCACCGCAGAGCTCTGGCAGCCCCATGGATCTGTCTGCTCTCATCTGCCTGCTTCCCTTCTCCCCATCGCAGCTCCCTGATGCTCTCCAGGTTCCTCGGGCACAGCAGCAAAGCCTCCTGTCCTTTCCCAAGAGCTTGGCTCACACGTTCTGCTCTCCTGCACGTGGTCCAGTGCCTCCGGATGGAGCAGCCTGGGAATGCTCCCTGAGCTCCATGTCCAGCACCTTGCTGGACACACAGCCCATGATTATTGGGGTGTCGCTGCCTATTGCTAACCTCTAAAGGGGTTTCTAAGGTTTCTTTATCATTATACTCAGAAAGTATTCAGCACAGAGCTGAGACCCACTGCTCTTTGCTCCGGATTACATCTGTGCACAATCCCAACGCACACAGGGACGCAGCTGCCACACAAGGTTCATTAGCTCCAGTTCAGCCCCACTGTTCATCAGCTCTGCTGCTGCCTGCAGCTCGGTGATGAGTTTGGGACCCAGGGGTCCCGGTGGGCACCAAATGGGACACGAGGCAGAGATGGGCCCTCGGGCAAATGGTGCCGATGATGGTCTTGGTTGCAACAGAGCATCACCAGCAGGACAAGAGGGGGGATGCTGCCCCTCTGCTCAGTGCTGGGATCAGTGCAGGAGGGAGCTGGGCGCAATGGTGAGAACCCAAAGGAAGGCCACCATAGTGACCAAGGGCCTGGAGCAGCTTTAAGGCTGAGGGGCTGTTTGATCTGGGCAGGGAGGCTCGGGGGGATCCTACCCATGGTGATACGTCCCACAGGGAGGATGGAGTCAGGCCGTGCTCAGCAGCACCAGGACAAGCATGAGAGGCAACAGGCACAGACCGGAGCCCAGGAGCTGCTCCTGAGGAAGCACCGCTGTGCTGGGGGGGGCTGGAGCTGGTACAGGGAGCAGGTAGGGGCTGGGGGCTGCTCTTGGGGGTCTCTGACCCCAGGTGGGGGCCGTGGGATGGATGGAATGCGGCAGCCTCAGCCTCAACCCCTCTGCTGTCCCGTGTCCCTCCTGCAGCACAACCAGACCCAGGCAGCAGCAACGGGAGGAGTAGCACAACCCTGATGTGCCACAGCCAGAGCCTGGCACTGAGCTCAGCACCAAAGGTCCCACAGCCCTGTGGCACCGTGAAGTGACACCCTCAGTGTCCAGCCTATGCTGCACACACGGCTTCCTGAGCCACAGCACTGCAGCCAGAGAAACATCCAAGCTCTGAAGACATCCAGCCAAAGCAAATAAGCCGCTCTCCAGCACCTGCAGGCACAGCATTTTCCAGCCAGAAGCCAATTCTCCCTGCTCTCACCCTAAGGCACTCAACCTTTTCCAAACATGCCAGTGGAGCAGCAGAGACCCGTGCTCTCCTGAAGCTCCCAAGCATTTCCAATGCAGTGAAAAATTTGGATTCGGTCCCACAATCGTCGAGTTGCTGTGAAAAACTGGACTGCAGAGGTGTCTAACGTGACAAGGCAGTGGTCCACAACCCGCTTACTTATGGAGCCATGCAAAGGCTTCAAAGGGAGGCAAAGCAGCTGCAGGATGCAGCTCACTGCAGGGCCTGTCAGAGTGCATCAGGGAGCAGCGCCTGGGAGGACAGAGGTGCAGACAGAGGCTCTCCCACTGAGCAGGACCGCAGAAGAAAGGATGTGAGCTGACCGAGCTTCTCTTAGATCTGCACTGGAAAGGGGACTCTTGAAAGCCACGTTTCTTTTTCCAATGCAGAAATGAGAGGCAGACGTAACCCTTCCCAAGCCTGATGGGTTTGAGGCATTTCCTCCTGGGGGAAACCCTTCTGGATGCTGCACAGGAGGAAAGCCAGGTAAGGCACTGCTCCATCCCCAACCTCCCTGCTCTGAACCCACAAGAAAAAAAACCTCCAACACAGGGCTCTGTGCAGCAGGAGGGCACACGCTGACATCAGTGTGCACAGAGCCACCAAACCGTAGGGACTGGAGTCCCTCCAGAGCCCTGCCCCACGTCAACCCCCCCGGAAACATTTCCCTCCAGCATTTGTACCAGAAAGGATCCAAACAAGCTCACATCTCTGCGGAGAAGACAACTCCCCCAGCACCCCGGGCTCTGTGAAGGGGCTCGGCCATCCTCACAGCACAGTTCTTCCTCTAGTTCAGATCTGGGCTCCAGTCTGTGCCCAGCACTCCTTATCCGGTTGCTCAGCCCCCTCCTCCTACCCCCAACCTCCAGATACCCATCAGTGCTGCTCTATGATCTTTAAGGACCCTTTTCCTATCCAAACCATTCCATGTTGCCATATTACAGCAACTCCCTTTTTTGTGTCAGCCTTACTGGAAGAACAGCAGAAACGGACCCAGAACCTCGAGGAACCCACTCCTAACTCCACCTGGACAGGAACAAGGGTATTTCCAAGGCACCAGCTGCCCTTCCCATCTCTGCACCAGACCCTGCGCCATCAGCTCCATGCAGGGACACAACTCCTGGTGGTAGCTGCCCCTTGGGAAGCACCGCTGCGCTGTGGAGGGCAGAGAGGGGCTGGGGGCTGCTCCAGGAGATGGCCAGCCTGGCCAGCCCCCCTGGTGTGGGGCTGGGGGCCCCGGGACCCAAACAGGGGAAGGCTGCAGACCAGGGACAGAGCTGCGGGTTCAAAGGGCAGAGCTTCCAAAGGGGATCACAGAACAGCTTTGGTTGGAAGGGACCTTAAGGATCCCAAAGTCCCAGAACCACAAGGGATGAAAGGGACCTCTGGAGCTCCCACAGCCCCACCTGGCCCCCTCCTCCCACCCCCCAGATACCCACCAGCACTGCTCACACCCCTCTCAGCCTTCTCTCCCCCAGCTGCACAGCCCCGGGGCTCTCAGCCCATCCCCACCAGGAGGGGCTCCAGGCCCCCCATCCCCACACCCTCCGCTGGGCTCTCCCAGCACTTCCCAGTCTGCCCTGAACTGGGAGCCCAGCACCGGGCGCAGCGCTGCAGCAGTGCCTCCCACCCAGGCAGCCTCCCCCCACCCCCGCTCCTTACCTCGGGGGCTGCCCTGCTGCCAGGCTCCTCCCGCTCGGCTTCATCCTCCTCCTCCCCGGCGCTGCTGTTGGTGCTGTCGCTGCCAGAGTCCTCCAGCCCCGAGTAAACGCTCTCCTCGCTGTCTGTGAGATCGTCATCGCTCTCGAGCTCCAGGGGCTGCCCAAGGAGAGGCCGGGGGGTGTCAGGGTGGTACCAGGAGCCGGAACTGGGCCCAAGACCCCAGGCCCAGACCGTGGAACCTCTGGCCCAGAATCCAGGCCCAAATCCAGAACCCGGGCTTAGGCCCCCAGACCCAAAACCTGGGCCCCCAACACAGAGGTCGAGCCAAAACGCGGAACCCCTGGTCCAGAACCAGGCCCGAGGCGCACAACCCGGGACCCCAAACCCAGGACCCGTGCCCGCACCCGAAACCAGGCCGAGAACCGGAACCAGACCCAAGACCCGAACGAACCAGGCCTAAGACCCGAGCCCACCACCCCCGTAACCATGGCAACCCGCCCCGACCTGCTCCATGGTCTCCACGGCCGCGTCCCGCGTGCGCCGCTGCCGCTGCCGCCGCCGCCGCCGCCGTCCTCCGCGTGCGCGGGGTCAA